CAGGATGATGACTGGATCATGATCCAGTATTCTGGCCAAACATTCGTGCGTATTCTGTAGAAATGTACCAACCACGTGCTGTCTACTGCCTATGTTAGCTGCTTTGTTGTGTTCCGAGTTCAGGCAAGCAACGGAACCGTGAATGGCAGCAGAGGCGAGGTATGAAGTTCCCCCTTGCTCAGTGTTGGCTGGGAGGGAGCGATAGCGAGCGACTGCGAGAGAAAGGAAGGACAAGGAAGGAATCGGACTGAAGCTGAGCATCTAACCTGCACACAGTAGTCAAATACACTCCACGCCAAATACAGGACTCGGTCATGATCCGATCATGATCGGGTCACGAAGCCGGGGATCATGACCCAATGACGATGTCACTCATTGGAGTTGGCATGGCCTGCGCCTTTACGGCGAAGGATGGCCTCGCCGTCAGGGTCAATTACCCCAGATAAGCATGGTCCGAGTATCGAAAGAAAACATCTATATAGTCTGAGACTCTGCTGTGTACAGCGACACGCACACACACAGACTTGCACGAAGCTACAGCAGTACTGATTACTACTGCTGTAGACTACATGGAGATAGATATAGGGACGAGTTCCACCAACAATCTCCGACGGTTGTGTCCACTCGACGTTGGTGTTGAATTTCCACACCCTTGATCATGTTCATCCAGGAGCATCCAACAACCGACGAAGGCTCAAGCAAGAACCTGTCGAGGCTCAAAAGGCGCTCCACAAAGACCACGCTGTCTGTACCTGAAATACGGTGCCTCCCGGAGAGATCGATATGGTGGCGCACTGACCGTAGAACGTTGAGAAGCCCACGAAGAGCAATGGCAGCAGCAGCGACGACATTGGATCCCTTGGTCTCAGTACAAAGCTATCGCAGTGTACTCGTCGTGTGCGCGATAGTGATGCTGGTCATACCACAAGGGTGTAGTACGTTCAGCAGTAGTACGAAAATGGAGACTAGTGGGGTGGTGTTGGTAGTGAACGACCGTGCAGAGGAGTGAGTGTGAGGTAGTTCTTGGCCCGACCAAGTTTTCAAATTGTCGGGTGGATGTACTGCTGTTCGTTCGGGTGGATGTTGGCTGATTGTGTCTGCGTCCCCTTGAAATTTCCTGACCACATGGATGGTGTGGAGACTCCACGTTGTCTCGCTGGCG